TGAAGAATTTGTTTTCAACACTTTGTAGGCAACTTATAGAAACCCAATTTGCAAAACACACCAACCCCCCCCCCCCCCCCCCCCCCCCCCCCCCCCCCCCCGGCCTTTTCTTTTTTTAAAAAATAATATCCACTACACACAAGCACAAGCTGTATCCACAATCTCAACAATAATAAAACCCAATCAAAAAACAAATAAACCCCCACACCCTTGCAAGCAAAACACAACCCAACTTCTACAACCCAAGCAAGCAAAATCAACAACCCAAGCAACCCAATTCGGCCAGTGTCCACAGAAACCACAAGATATGCAAGTACCCCCCCCCCCCCCCCCCCCCCCCTCCTCTCACTTCTGTAATCAACAATCAAAATAAACCCAAACACAACCCTAACCAAATTATACAATCCCAAACAACCTACAATCAACCCCTACAAATTCAACAACCCAAGCACAAATTTGGCAACAACACCAGCCTGCAAATCGCACCCAAACTCGGCAAGGATGGCTGCCACCGATACCACAAGCGACGCGAGACAGCGACCCTCAAACCGTGGTCGGAAACGAATACAACTCGCCGTCCCACACCCACAATCCACACACGATGGCAACGCAAACCGCCTGCGGGAAGACCGCTACCCCAACATTGATACCCCAAAGCGAAGGACGACAGCGACCCGACCTTGGCCGGAAAAAAAAAAACCAAACTGGAAACCAGGAGGAGACCACGCCCAGTTCGCCGGAGGAAGAAAAAAGAAGGAAATAGGGGTCGCGATGGTGGACGGCGGTGACGAAGAAGTTGATCGAGGGACTGACGAAGATAGTTGTGTCATGTGAGAAATATATGAGAGAGAGTATGTTAGAAACAGAGGAGGAATCCGGATTGGAACAGGAGACAAAATAGCAGTGGCGCACAGCAAGAGATTGGGGCGTTTGAACGCAATAAGTGTGCGTTCAAACTTCGGAGGTCTATTGTAAAGCCCTCTTAGTTTTGAAATTGACGTGAAAATTCCAATTGTAGTGTTCGAACGCCAGGTACCTGGTTTGGGAACAATCCTTTGGGAAGTTCGAACTTCGGACCCCCAATTTTTATAGCTCTCTATTCTTCTCTTTCTTTACCTCCCAGTTGCCCACGCTTGAACACTGACAGTGGGCATTCGAACGCCCATTTTATTTATTTATTTTTTAAGACAAGAAACCTAATCTATAAAAATAAATAAATAAATAAATATATATATATATATATTAAATAAAATAAAATACAGTAAGATAAAAACTAAACTAAAAACAACAACAAAAAGAATATAATATCACCTACAAAAAGAAAACTAAACTAAAACTAAAAAATACTAAAAGTAAAAATAAAAATAACCTAATAAAAAAATTAACCTAGAAACTAAAACTAACCTAATCTACAAAAAGAAAAATAAAAGCAAAATAAAAAAAAGCTACCCTAAAAACAAATAAAAAGATAATCTATCCTACAAAAAGAAAACTAAAATACATAAATAAATAAAAAATACAAAGTAAAAATAAAAATAAAACTAACCTAATCTAAAAATTAGCCTAAAAACTAAAACTAACCTGCTAAACAAAATAAAATGAATAAAAATAAACCTAATCTGACCTACAAAAAGGAAAATAAAATAAAAGTAAAATAAAATAAGAAATAGAAAAATAAAAATAAAAATAAAAATAAAAATGAATACAACCATTTTTCTATGATCCAACCTAATTTTCAATGCTAAGTTATTTATTTTTTTTTTTCTGAGACAAGAAAGTATGAAAACAAAATAAAAGTAAAACAAAAACGAAAACCTAATTCCTACCAATACAAAGGAGACATGTATCCCCCTAAAGGGCTAAATTTAACGTCTATAGCTACACGGAATGCCACTCGACTACTCCTTGGGGGATTTGGGCTTGAAGCAATGGGAACTGGGGGAGTTTCATTGGGACCCAAGAAAAAATACTTGAGCTTATTCGGTGATGGCTTAGGTTTAAGCTTGTGAGTAAACTCACAAGAAGGAATGGATGGAGCACTCGAAATCAAAGGAAGAGGTTCTCTCGATGGAAAAACCGGGACTAAATTATCAATGACATCGAGTGGCATTGAAGATATTCAATTTAACTTTCATGTTTCCAAAAGAAATATCCATAACCCCGGTCCTACAGTTAATGCAAGCATTCGCTGTAGCTAAGGATGGATGACCGAGGATCACGGGAATACATCTTTTGGGATCATGGACAGGGTATGTATCAAGAACAAGAAAGTCTACTGGAAAGTAGAACTTGTCCAATTTAATGAGAACATCTTCAATTATCCCACGTGGTTGCTTTATGGAATGATCATCAAGTTGTAGCTCAATCGACGTGGATTTAAGCTCTCCCAAGCCCAATTACAAGTAAACCGAGTAAGAATAAGATTAACACTAGCTCCGAGCACGGAATAAGGAATATTGCTCTAAGCCGCCAATATAATCTCTCGTGTCTTTTTTCCCCTTTTTCTGCTAGACATCTCCCTTTTATATCTATATGTTGTAGGCTTTCCTCCTAGAGAAGGGAAATAGAAAAGGCCAGCAAAAGAAAGAAGCTCAAATAGTCTTCTAAATTTTCGTCAGTTTGTAACGCTGTTTTGACCTGTTTGGAATACGAATCTCGAAATTGCTATTAGACACAAAAACGACGGGCTTTGAGTCTTCTTTCCAAAGCCGCTGAGTTTGCCTAATTCCGAGTTTCGGGTAAAAAGTTATGCCCAAAACACTGAAGCGGGTCCAGAATTTTTTGCTTAAGTTGTTTCCTTGTTGGAATGGGAAAGCTATATTTTCTTCATATAATGACCCAGAACGAATTTGGCCTGCTGGAAACTCCTTTAAAAGTCTTCTAGAATCATCCATGAATGATCTTAGCCATTGGGTCACCTTAGATACTGTAGCTCTTGCGGTCTCCATCTGTAGATTGAACTTAAAGACCCTACAAGTAACGGAATTGACTGAATTTCTGGAGATTACCTAAAAATAACAAAAATAAAGAAAATATCATAAGTAATATGAAATAAACATTACTAAGGTATTAAAATATGCAAATCTAAGGGCTCGAATGTGCAATATTTAGCGCTTATCACCTGTCCTGGCCTGAAGAAAAGGCTGTGTATACATGGGAGCAACATCACCTGAATGAAATGTTCTTTGTCCCAAATCTATTGGGAGAAGATTGGAGTTCTATTAAGCTTCTATAGATTGTCACCACAGTATCTTCTTCCCTGGTTGCGGGGATTCTTGATAGGGTATCTTTCTCATCATGCGACATGGGAATTAAATTAGAAAACTGAAATATTGTTTTGGTATCATGGCTTGCTTTATATTCGGCCTTTTGTCATATAGTATGATTATTCTCATGGTATCACATGGCCATTAAAAAATAAAATAAAATAAAACAGTTGTGGATGACCAGATATGAAAATCCTCCAATATATATATTACTTTCATGCCCCGTCTCACCCAGCATCAGGTTCAGATTGCATTTTGGGATTTTGTTTTCATCTCAGGCCAGGTGATTTCATCCCAAATCCAATCCATTAACCTCCCTAGTCGTCTGGCTTCATTCACATAGCCGTTTAAAGTTGAAAGTCCATAAGAATGTGTGGATTTTAACTTGGACCCAACATAAGGGATGGCAATTTCCTCCAACCTGGTGGGTTGCCGCCCTACCCCTAGTGGGGCGGATTTGGTAGCCCCCTAAATGGGTTTGGGGCAGGTATGGTAAAATAATTGAAAACTGAAGCAAGTTTGGGGCGGGGGTGGATTTAGTGATGAAACTGCCCCGATTATATATTTATCTTTAAATATTATATATATTTATCTTCTTTATATATATATAAATAATATTTTTAAGAGACTTGTTACTTTGCTAGAAGTGTTATTTAGTAATTTAAAAGCTGGGCTAGCTTATTTATCAGCCCAATTTGAGCACATTGGGCTAGTTTTTTTTTTTTTTTTTACTAAATAATAAAATTGGCATAACCCAACCCACCCTGCTGTTAAACGGAGTACACAGTGAGGAGTCGGTAATTTGTTTGCCGGAGTAGGGGCGGGGATGGTATACTAATTACAAAACATAGTAGGGGTGGAGTTGGCATAATGGATTTACTAACGGGACGGAGTAGGGTTCAGCCAAATCCGCCCTGTTGCCGTCCCTTCATTCACATAGCTGTTTACAGTTGAAAGTCCATAAGACTGTTTGGATTTTGACTTGGACCCAACTTCTAATTTGAGCATATGCTGATGCACGCAAGATGCCCAACTTAACTGTTCTTTTGTGCTAGGGTAGATTGGGCTATTGCATTTTGAATATTGACTGTTGCTTTTTATTCGGTTTTAGAATGGAAAAAAAAGAACAAAAAGAAAAGGAATGAGATCTTATGATTGAGATGTTCTTACAGATTCGTCTTGAATTGTTAGTAAAAATATAAACTGATAATGTAAAAACAGTAGTGAAAACACTGCCTTGGATGAACTGGAGAATTGACAAAATTTTCACTTAATTTATGCTACGCTGTCTTAATTTAGCAAACCAGCTTTTGGCAAACAAAACCAGAGGGGAAAAGCTTAGGAGGTAGGTTTTGTATTGGTGATGACTGGATAGGGGTGTCAAGAGTTCAATGCTGGGTAGTAGTAAATAACAAATTTAATCTCTTATTCTCTTGTAGTCTTGTTAGCCTTCTACGTTCAATCTGTTGTGCTGGATTACACATTTTTTTAAGTTCTGGATTAAGCATTTTTTAAAGTGCTTGTAAGTTTGTTAAATTTGGTCAAATTACTTCTTTCAAAGAAATACTTGCATGTCTTATGCTACATTTTCTTGGATGGAAGTGAATAATACTTAAAATCTTGTATTAAAAATATGATAGGTTTTAGAAAGTGAAGATCACACTGTTGGGTTGAAATTAAACAATACGTGGTATTGGTGATGTACTTCAAGAAACTAATTTCTTTATCTTCCAGATCGAATTGAGGATGCACGTTGGAACCTCAGGAAAACTGTGATGATGACCACTCGTAAGATGCCTCCAAAGATTTCCAAGTTGAAAGATGAAAAGGGAGCAAATGGTTTAAAGCAAAGTGTAACAAAACCGCTGACTGAGGCGACAAGGGAGACTTCCGGGGATTGTTCTCCTTTGCAGGGAAGAGATCTGTTTGACATAATATCTTTCGAGAAAGGAAATTTTGTTCGAAGTTGGCGATCACCAGAGAATAAGTGCTATGATACAATACTTTGGTAAGTTCGTTCTTGCAATTTTATCACTTTTGTTCACTTAAGATGGAATTAGAGTGCCTTGTTGTTATGGAAAGTTGACAATATTGAAAATCTTTTTTTAAGTCATTAATTCATAAGTAATATCTGAATGACATTTATTGAACTTCAAAATAGAATTCCATTCAAAACAAAAATAGTAAAGAAATAAATAAGTGATAGTGATATATATGACAGTCATGGTTTTTTCCAATATAATGTCCAATTGTCCATGATAGTGACAAAACAATCATGCTATGTTTGGTTGCATGGAATTGATGTTCTGTTCTGCTTATTTTTCTGTCACTGGGATCTTGTAATGATCTTATTCTGTTCTGCTTATTTGAAATAAAATTAATGTTGAATTGGATCTGTGTGTGTGTGTGTTTGTGTGCGCTTTTTATGCACTAGGCGTTCTGCAGGTATTCATGGAACAGAAACTAACTTTAGCAGTTTAGCCTTTATCAATTGCTTTTCTATGTATTAGTGAAAAGCCTGATCTATGTAAAAATAACCTCAGAAGGCATCATTATACACAGTATTGTGTTATATACTTAATTGGATCTGTTTCTTACTTTGCAGTTTAAGTGTAACAAAATGGATCCATCTGAACTGGGGTGATGATGGGTTGATTACCTTATTTGCAAATATTTGGAGACTTCTTCAACAGGTATTTGTTATAAACTTATATCCGGTATTTCTTTGCATTTTAAAATTATCATCTAAGGATGGAAACTTTATTCTATGATGGATTCTGGTATTTAAACACTGTTGGTGCCTTTCTTGTGTATATGCTCCTTTTCTGAACTATTTATGTCTAAATTATGATCTTCATTTTGAGCAGGGTGGCATTCTTATTTTGGAACCCCAGCCATGGAATTCATATAGCAAAAACCGTCGTGTGTCAGAGGTATATAATTTGTTATTGCGTTTCTTTTATTTTTGCTATGAATTAAATAATGTGTTCTCATAAAAAATAAAAAAAAAACATAAAATAAAGAATCAAATTATGTTTGTCCAAAAGGACGTTAAACTTGATGCATCTATTGAGGGTAGGGGTTGGGGTCGGAATGGGTCTACAGTTGCCTGAAGCAATGTTTTTCTACTTTTCTGCAGACAGCAGCAAGTAATTATCAAAATATTAAGATCTTTCCGGAAGATTTTCAGGAGATACTTATGGATAAGGTATGTCATACCTATCTTGTTTGGTTCCAAGTTTGATACTGAAACCCTAAATGATACTGAAACCCTAAACAATCATATAGGACTCTCTTCTTCTTCTTCTTTCTTTTTTTTTTTTTTTTTCCATAATTGGGGGGTGAACATTATGATTTCCATTTGATAAAAATAATCTGATGCTGATATTTGACGTGGTTGCAGATTGGATTTAGAAAGGTAGAAGACATCACTTCCAGCTTATCAGGTAGCAATACTGGATTTGACAGGCCTATTTTGGCATTCTGGAAATGATTCATTTTGGCAGTTGGGCGAGGCTGTGTATGAGATTGTAAGATTATTAAGGTACGTTGTGTGAATATAGATAAGACAAGCTGAATGAAGTTGATATAAGCTTGATACCTGGAACAAGAAAAGGAATCCAATTCCTGAATTTTGAAGAAAGCATACAGTTTTCTCCCGTTGGAACTGTGGGTTTTTTTGGTTGATGGAGGGCAGATCTAGTTTATTGCAAGAACAATGATTCTTAGGGCCTTCCAATTTGGTTTTCACTACTTTTTTGTCACCCACCAGACGTAGCCTTCATTTTAAAGGGAAACATATGTAACAACTTACATTTGATGGTATATTATTTTTCCTCCAATCAATTTGTTGCATTTGTCATCAGTTCCATCTTCTATTTAAATGTGTGAAATTTAAGTTGTCTGGCTGCTCTATTGTTTTTGCCGAGGAACCAGTAAGGTTAAATTTGGTTTTGTCTAAAAAGAAATGATAAAACGGTGATATATAGGAATATGATATTGAGAATCCACCGCCTAAGCATTGTTGGTTTGAGGGGCACGTCCTCGGGCTCCTCAAAGGGATAATTGGTGTGTCCAACTAATAAAAATTATCGTAATAATTAATTGAGAGCAGTTTTTAAAAATAAATAAGACCAATTTCATAAAATGGTGTATTTTCATTGATCGGACATAACCAATGACTCGTCAAACGAAATTGTCACATACAAGCACATTAATTTGATTGTGTTCTCGTGTTGGCTAACTTAATTCACCATCTCAAGTCTAACTGCTTGTATGTGATAATTTAGTTTTAAATAACCATCAAAACAATCTTTTGTTATATTCTAGATTTGATGAAAATGGCTCTTTAACATTTCATAATAATATGTTGGAATGTAGTTAGAATTATAAAGAATGATAACAACCAAATGGACAATAGCCCAACTGGTACAAAGAACAAATCACTTCTCCAAAAGGAGTAGACGGCAGAGGCAACTGACTCATTTTTGGTTCCCCATTACATCTTAAGGCTCCCGAATGAACTCGTGGCCATTTCGGTTTGTTTCTGTGCACTAGTCCTTGAGAAATTATTGCAATGCCAAGATCCGATCTATATTCTTACATCAAGCTCATATCCAAATTATAACAACAAACATGTCGAGGACCGGATTAGTAATACACGGGTCACACGAGGTTTTCCAAGGCAGGTTTTATATTTCAAGCCGAGCTCATCTAGTAACACACGGTGTCATAGAACCCTAAACCCAATTTTCTGTTTGTAGTATGTGAGAATGACTTTCTTGCACCTTTAATACTTCATTATCTGTGTTATTAACCAATTGTATCATGTCACATAAGTAAAAATGCTTTTTTTATTGGGTCCTATCATTACGTGTCAGTATTTAATAAGTAGTGATGCATGTCATCACTACAACGGGCGCAATTAATTTTTTCTCAAAGTATGTGAAATAAGTTCGTAAGAAGGATGCTCGACTATACTCATACAGCATCAAGCCAAGAACAATATATCACTCCAGCTCTGTGTCTATATATATATATATGTATATGTATAGAATTATATTGTATTCAATAAGGTGTGTAAGTTGGGCTGCCCAACCCGATACAAACCCGACACCAACCCCAGGCCAGGTCAGGTCGGGCCAACCTAAACATAACCTGGTGTTGGAACAGGTTGGGCTAAACCGAACCCGAAGAGCTCTCGGGAGTGCTAGGCTTACATTGCAATTCCTTATAAGCGATGTTGGATTCCAAAGAGGTATAGAGAGAGTTTTAGGTTAAAAGATAAAACATACCTTCCGTGAAAAGAAAAGGGGCAAAAAAAAAAAAAAAAACCTAACTAAATTGGGTTCGGGTTAGAAAGGTGCAAACCCGAGCCCAACCCGAAGTGGACTCGGGCTAGAAATTTTGCCCCAATTCCAGTCCAAATTTGTAAAATTAAAAGCCCAGCCCAAAAATTTCAGCCTGGGTTCGGATTGGGTCGGTTTGAACCTGCCCAACTTGCACCCCTAATTCATAAATATACTTATTCATAACCAAATTGGTGTTCTTGGTTTAAGCCAAGAATGATATGCTCGTGCTAGCATGAAGGATGGTTGGCCTTTGACTTCTCATAATCTCGCCATACAGCAACCCAAGACCATTGTAAATGCTCTTTTAAAATTTAAAACTTTCAGTTCTTCCAAATGCAATATTACAGTTTGGTTATGGCTCGTCCTCCGAGAAGTTATGCACTTCAATATCCATCATATGATTTAAGCACCTGATAATTATAAGAAATTTTTTGACTGTCACCTCGAAAACTCAATTGACCCTTAAGCAATGGAGCATAAACGTAGAGAGATCATCAGGATCTCGTTACACAAAGTTCAGAGAGCGCGATAGAAACTGATCTATACTAGTGGTGAATCTGATTTAGTCATCTTCTGTCAACTATTGCAAAACCAATATCCATATCACCAGCCTTGATCATATAAAGTATGTGGTGAAATATGTGCTTGAGAAAGAAAGGACGAATCTCATTCAGAGAAAAACACAGTAAAAAGCCTTAATACTGGCCACATCTACTTGAGGTCTCCATCCAGAGGCAGTGCTGATATCACAAAAGACACCAATTCTACAACACCATTAAAACACAGCAATCAGTGTCACTTGCCTAGGTTCAAAAAGAGTGAACCTGAAAGGTCAACAAACAACAGAGTGGGTCATAAAAATTCTCAGATAAACAATTTATCTTATAAGAGGGCCCCAAGAGAATAGTTGGAGTTCCATGACAAATGCATCCCTGATAGCTTTAAAGTAAAACCTTATGGTATCAAAGCAAGAATTAACTCTAATGTCATACAAATCAACAATCAAACCAAAACTTATATCCGGAGAACAAATGTCCAAAAAAATAAAAAATGTGCAATTATATTTGCCACATTACTGAAAAGTATGATGATGTTATTGGTCCTCAATTAGGTAACAGATACAGAGCTATACCTGGCAGCTTATTCCGAAGACCTCTATAGAGAAAAATGGCATTGCTACAATGAAAAGAAAGCAAGATAGATATTATAGTTTCCCCAAGTGGACCAAGTGTTAGCCCCTCAATAGTTGTCCCAAGGCAAGACATAGGCAAGAGGGGTCATGCCATGTCTTGAAAAGCTATGGATTGGCACACTCGGCTTTTCAGTGGCATCCAAATTGAAATCCAACTTTTGCGTTGGACTTCTTATGACTTCAAGCCGGATGTCATTTCAAGCCGCAAAAAATAAGAAGCTAACTGAACCCTAAACCTCCCTCTCTGTCCATCAGTTTTGCCAGCTGCTTGATGCAAATAAGAACAGACACAAACCATTTTGAGTGAGCAACAATTATTACTGCCTTGGCTTTTCAGCATTCTCATCCCTAGGCTTCTGCCTTACACAGCTTCACAAGCTGCTGGATCCGAATGCCACATGAGCAACCAATTAAGCTATAAGAGCAGCAGGTATTGCTGGCATGGATTTTCAAGCATTACCAGCAAGTCTGCTTTTGTTTTTAGATACTTGATTTCAAAGCATCATGGCTGCGAAATCACACATTATGTTTTCCCTGGTGAAAAATAACCAATTCATAATATCTTCTCAAATCTAAGGTGGAAAATTAGCTTTTCTGTCACCTCCTGAACAATCCATAATCCCTTTTCACCTGTCCCCTATGCAGTAGTACGCCAACCTTCCCCTGAAGCAGAAGTAGAAGGAGACATAGTCATTTGTCCCATGATCTTCACTACCATCGTCGTATGCTACTTGGTATTCCCCTGATTCATTTCACCCTCGTGACAGCATCCTAAGGAAAAGAAGAAATCCTGCAAATTAGGAAGTATGAAAACTGACATGCTACATGTTTTCAGAGGTTTTGATATTAGACAAATAATTGCAGGGACGAGTCATGGTTGTCAAATGAAAGACCTAACCTGTAATAATTACATGCAATCCTACTTAGTAGTCAATGCTAATTGAGAGAACTAGTTAGGTGTTAATTTTTTTTTTAATAAGCACACGACAACTTGAGAAATCATAAACATAGTAAAGATAAAGAGCACAACAAAACAACTCAGAAGAGTTTCAAAGTTGTTTGGGGAAACCTGAAACAAATCTAGGATTTTCTATAAACAGATAATTTATAACAATAAGCACTTCTATTTATAATACCAACATCAGCTAACAAAAGTAAGATAAATAAATCTGCAAGAACAACAAAACAAGAAAACCATGCAAAATTCTTTATAAAGGAGAACTAAGCCACTCTTTTGTTTGGTAAATATGGTAACTCCAATATGTAGAGGTAGAAATTTGTCCACATTCATTTTCATTAAGTATGCAACCATAAGCAATCATAGAAAGAAATAAAAATGAAATTATGACTGATATCTAATTCAAAAATAAAACCAAAATCCGAGTATTTTGGCCTTCTAGGATGATTTCTCAAATGGATGCCAGCAAATAGTGAAGAGTATGCACCTGCTAAGGCTATACCTTTAGTATCTCCATGATCTTAATTTCGAAAGCTCTTGTGAGCCACAATTTTTGCTTTATGTGAAGTTTGATTATCATAATAAATGTTCATATGGCCCCATCAGTTCATATGGAAAATCTCATATAGCATTCCCTGAAATGGAAGGAGTTTGGACGCACGGGAGCAATAACTCAACTCAACTCTCAAAGCCTTTTCCAGCTACATGTATGGAAGCAAATCATCAGTGAAAAGAAGAAGAAGAAATAGAGCAAAACACATCAATCGTATATATTTCTCAGTTATAGCTTTCATAGATAGGAATTCATGCACAAACATGTCATTCTTCTGCCCAAGGGACTTCCATATAAGTTGTTCTATAAACATAAATTCAGTGTTCCATGAGTGTAAAATGTTCTTGACATATTCAGTGTCTGATCCAAAGGCATATAAAGCAATAAGGTTACACAGAAATGACTAATAACCAGTAATCAATAAAGTAACAAACAATATCAACAACCTTTGCAAGAACTAAAGTGAACTGTAGAATCTGTTGATAGAAAATTTTGGGGAAAACACTTACACGCATCATTCATGTTACAAAGAACTGTAAAACACAAGTTGCTGTGATTGTGACATCTATTTACAGAAGAGGATCCAAACTCTTGAGTAGTCTGTATTCAATCAACCAATGTATTTTTAGTCACCTTAAGAAAAATATATTAACGAGCTGCCACCTATAGACAAATGTTGCGATACATATTCACAGCTTGTTTGCTCCACCAGAGATGCATCCCTAGGTCATGTCAACCAATATCTGAGCAGTATATTCAAGGATCATCCCATGTGCTTGTAATCACCTTGAACTTATAGTATGCAAGTTGACACCCCGAGAGGAATGATAGCTACTTAAATTTATGGTATGTTTGCACCTCTGTAGATATATCCAAATATCTTTTCCAAATCTATAGCTGAAAACATAAAAATGAGGAATAAGTAATCAAGTAAAACTCCTTAAAGGTAGCAGTTTAGCCGCAATAAATATAATCCACTCAAGAATGAACCAGATAATATTACCAAATCAATCACTTGGCAGAAGAAATACGGTGCAGGGATGAAATCCAGCTGCCTGAAGGACCAACTTTGTCGCCATGCCCATGGCTGGAGTTCGTGGTTTCAGCGGGTAATACAGGTTTTGGGGCATTTCTCTTGGAGACCCCAACAAGAGGAAATGAAGTGGATGGGATGTGTTCACTGCTCAGGATCTATGAAAATGTAACATTGAACTATCAGTGGTCCATTTTCAACTGAATGATAACAGCAATAATGAGCTATGCAAATGCCAGGACTGAGACGACTGGCAATATGCATTGTATTTGCTTTGCAGTATACAATATGATGCAAATGGCAGTAAAAATTGCCCAGAATTTTTTCACAACATAGTCAATACTAGCAATATGGCAACAAATGTTACATATTTGCAAACAAAACAAAAAAGAGATGAAATGACTTACGTGTCTCTCACGGTGATTGTCAGAGCTCAAGTTCCTGTCAATTGGTGATTTAAATTGCACGCGAATGCCAGGACTGGCGGCATTGCTTGACCTCATGCGTTCTTTTACTTCAGCAGTATAGGAAGCATTGTTACCCACTGACAGTAAAATGAACAACTCGTGATACTCATTCGTGGTTAATTATAATCAGAGGTTAGTATCCCATAAAAGATCAATGGTTCTATTGACATATCAGCTTAACATTGAGCATGACCACTTTAGCAAATTGGAAAACTATTATGGTAACTCGCGTTTTTGTTCTGATTGATTTGATTCAGCAGTGTAAACTGTACAAATAAAAAGGGTAACAAATTCCTTCTAACAGGCCGTTTCTGGAAGATATGTGAAGCAAGATAGGCAACTAAAAAGATAACTTTTTCTCATTAGATGTGTGAGTGCGCTAGCAAGATCTAACCTTGATGCTTGTCCACATCCACTGGCATTACCCGACTGCTGCTCTCTCCAGGAACTGGCTGTAAATTTGAGTATTGAATCTTGTTGGATGTGTGAAAGATGATATCAAAATTTCATTTTCATATGAGCAACTTCAATACTTGAAATTTTATGGAATTGCAATTCATGCAGTAAAGAAAGAAGTATTGTAGCAAGCTTCACAGCTAAAAATCACTTCAGTAACATCGGGTATCATCAAATCCATGCAATCTTAATGGTGATTCATTGGGGAAGAAAACAAGAAACAAAGTAGCGAGAATACTAACAGATAATAGTGGCTGAGGTTTACTCTTTTGTGCCTGTTGGTACTTCAGGATGGTCCAATCAAATACATAATCAAATTCATATCCTGACACGAAATAAAATATTAGTAGGTAGTTTGTCTGGATATATAAGAACAACCGAGCAGAACACTATAAAATTGAATTTGTCCCATCAATTTTAGGTAAACAGAAATATAAGCAACAGGACAATACAAAAAATATTTTGAAAGAACAAATATATAAATAGATAAAATAAGAAACAAAGTACAAATCAATATTTAAGTTTTTGTGTTTGCTGTTACATATAGAAGGACTTACCTTAGGCACGGTCAACAAAAAATATTTTCGTTTAACATACACTAAGCAGATCACATAAACCAAAATTTGCTACCAATCTAAAGAAATGTAGCTAATACCTAGGTGTAACAGAGGGGGGGGGGGGGGGGGGGGGGGGGGTTGGGTTGGTGTGTTGGCAGTTTTTTTTTTTTTTTGGTGTGTTGGCAGTTTTTGTTTTTTTTTTTTTTGCATCAGCTAACATTGTGGATAGAAACTCATGAAACAAGGCAGCAGCATAAAGATAAATATTTCCATAATGCTCCGTTCGGTATGAGAAATGAAAAATAGGAAGTGAAGGTAGGAAGGTTGAAGTATTACCAGAAGGAGACTTTCCCTCTTTTGCTTGGTTGTGCAGCGAGGGAAATGAAAAAGAAAAGGCATTTTGCATTACCATTGTGTCTTTAGTAAAAATGTGAAAAGGGTAGGGAACCCTTTCCTCCACTATTGGGAAGCAGAAGCAGGCCCCCTCTTCGTTTTTCTATTACCATATCAAGGAAAGTTCATCCATCATTCCACTTTTTAACCCTCCTTTATTCTTCCCATTCTTCCTTCCTACCAAACACATGCTTAATTGCTGAACCTAAATTGTTCGGGGACTGGTTTTTGGTATTGCTTTCTTCAACTCTACATCTAGCCGGAAAGGGCCATTGGCATGGATTTTTCAACTTTCAAACAGCCTCCATAAATGTGTACTCCTATATATTATCAACATCTAGACGTTGTCAATCATACCTTCACGAGTGAACAACTCGCGGAACAGACGTTTCAGGAATCCATAATCAGGCCGCTGATCAAATGTCAACGAGTGGCAGTAATGGAAATATGATGCAAACTCCACTGGGTGAGACTTGCATAAAACCTTCAGGAAATAACTATCGAATCAGTTCAAATTGAAGTTGCATAACTGACTCAACAGAATGAGCTTTGCCTAAATTACCTTAAACCTGGGTTTAGATACTGAGAAGGAAAAAAAAAAATAAAAAAATAAACTGTTTCTTTCACTTATTTGTGCATTGGTTATCAAATGAAAGCGTGGCACCATTAATAACTATTTTATTATTTTCTCTAAATCATATTCTATATGCATCATGGGGAAGTTCAAAACCTATTTTCTTGTAAACTTTACCCACAAATAATATATATATATTTTTTTCTTATATTTCTTCCAAACCTGTTCTTTAATCAAGTTCTCTTTAGGACCACTTTTTAGTATGATATTCCCAGATAAATTCAGTTCAACTTAAACCACACAATATTTAGAAATACACAACTATGACGAGATAGACCGATGATTCATACATACCTCAATGGGAGTTGATAACTTCTTTTCACAAATTTTGTCATATTTCTGCTTCTTTGTGGCGGCCTTTAAACCTTGCCATGGAAGGCTATGCACAAGCATTCGTGTCAGTGGGAGGAAAAGAAATATATATGGCAGGAAAATACATGAATAAATTTACACCAATAAATAGATACAAAGCAACACACACAGATATAGCTTGAATTTTCAATACATTATTTGTATGAAATCCACAAATTCCATCTCAGAAGGTAATTTGGTCAAGAAAAGATGGAAAAAGGAAAGCAGAGAAACAAAATTGCATACCTTCCCCTCAAGAAATATAGAAGTACATATCCAAGAGATTCTAAATCATCACGCCTGCTTTGCTCTACAAAGTTGGCAATCAATTGAGAAAAATCAAGTTCCTTATTCCAATTAAGAAAGGTCTAACAAAGTATATCTATGCTTACCAATTCCAAGATGAGTATTACAGCTTGCGTAGCGTGCAGTTCCGGTTAAGTTTTTGTTCTCCCTGTATTGAATTTTCATAGGAATCAAAGAAAGTGCTGTTACTCTAAGAAAGTCTCAAAATAAATTAATAATTTAATAGAAGAAGCAATGTTCTCCCTGTATTGAATTTTCATAGGAATCAAAAAAAGTATTCTGTTACTCTAAGAAAGTCTCAAATAAATTAATTAATAAATAAAAGAAGCATATTACTTCTTCAAATATAAACCAGATTTATGAAATTACAGAGAATATCACTACTTTGTGACCTACGAGACAACATGTATTAGAGAACAGAGCAGATATAAAAAATAATCTTATTTGACATTAAAACATTTTAAGTAAAAAATTTCCCCCAAATATGTTTTCAAAAGGTAACGATCAGAATAAATTGAAGTATTAGCAAGCCAACATGAAATGGTAAAATCGGTTAAATAGCATAAGAATAGTTGACAACAGATAAGAGAATTCAAACACAAAGAAGTATTACATATAGACTGGAAGAACACCTGTAAGGAATATGGCGATTGGTTGTAGAATCTCGATATCTTTTTGCAAGCCCAAAATCAATAATGTAAACCTGATGAGTGCATTATAAGGACAAGAACATGAGAACCTTTAAAAAAAAAAAAAAAAAAAAAAAAAAAAAAAAAAAAAAAAAAAAAAAAAACGAAGAAGAAGGAATCCATGTGAAGTGATAAAGAGGCACTGCTATTATTATTACCTGGTTTGCTTTTCGACCAAGCCCCATAAGGAAGTTATCAGGTTTGATGTCCCTATGTAAAAATCCTTTAGAATGCATATATTCTATTCTTGTTATCTGGCAAAGGGAAGACAAGACAGGTAAAAAAGAGGGAAGGGAGGGGGGAGTAAGATTAAAGTCATCTTCAATGTCATATGCAACATCTACATAACAAACTTTTTAGAATGAGCATGGGAGCTTGCTGAGACTAACATCTCCATCAGTGTCCAAAACATGTTAAAAAAATGCCACTTGGGAGCTTGCTGAGACTATAGCATCTCCATATGTGTCGAAAACATGTTCAGTCATACACCTATAGAGTTTTGAATTTTTTATTTACTTCAGAAATATGCAGGGAAGGTGTATTATGCAAATTTTTTTTTGGTGAAACATCATCAGCAACAGCAACTATCACAAGTCACAATTACTAAACAGCAAATTATGTACAGCAGATTGTTCCCTACTTTGATAAAGCGTGACCTGTAAGAAGATTATCCATAAAGAGATCAATTCAAATGTCTTCATAGCCCACAGATGTTAAATAGTACTCACCATTTGATCAGCCAACATCAACACTGTCTTTAGTGAAAACTTTCTACCACAATAGACAAACAGATCTTCAAGACTTGGTCCCAGCAAATCCAGGACAAGGATATTGTCATCCCCATCTACACCAGACCATTTTATCCCAGGAATACCACCTAAAAGACAGTCAAATTAAAATACATATATCTATTACAAAGAATCTAAAATGGAGGATACAATGACTTACTGAGATAACATAACTATTATATCATGCATATATATATGCATCTACGTATATATAAATATAGATATATGACAAATTTATTTTCGAATCAAACATACTTCCTCCCTGAAGGATATTATATAACTTAGCCTCGTAAAACAGTTGTGGATGTTTCGTCTTGTTGTTTTCCTGCAAAAATTAAATAAACAAATACATATAGTTAATCTTTTTTTTTTTACTTATCAAAAAAAATAGTTAATCTTTTTTATAACAACATATAAATTAATTTGATGTTAGCTAACAAGGCATATAGTTAATCTTTTTTGTAACAAGAAGTAAATAAATTTGGTGTTAGCTAATAAGGGACACAAAGCATTACACAAGAAGTTGTAGAAATGTTTTCCAAAATCTGCTTCTCATGTTTTGGCTGTACCGTTTACAAACGTCAATTCTAGTCAAGGATTGAAACATTTTTTTTTTTTTGATAAGTAAGATTTTATAAAAGCATTCAAAAGGGGAGCGAATCCCAAGAGAAAATCAGAAGGCCACAAAGGACCTCTAAACCTTCAAAGAGGCCAAAAAATCTACAATTTCCTCTATAGAACTATGATCTCTCCCTGAAACCAAACAAAAAAGAGTGGAAAGAATAGAGAATTTGAGAGTAGAAATCGACATCTCCTTCCCCTCAAAATATCTCCTATTCCTCTCCAGCCAAATATACCACCATACACAAAGAGGCGTAGCCCTTCAAGCATCTTGAATGTGAGCCCAAGAAGGTAACCTCTCCAAGCCTCAATCAATCCTCTAACGGATCCAGGCATAACCCAAAGAAACCCAAACAAGCCAAACATCAAATCCCAACAGTCTCTGGCATGGTGCAATGGAGGAGAAGGTGATCAACAGTTTCCTCATCCCGAAGGCACATATAGCAACGATTGACCACCTGAGTCCTCCTTCTCAAATTATCCTGGGTTAAGATCCTTCCCAGAAGTCCAAGCAAAGAAGCCCATCTTGAGAGGAGCCTTAGAGTGCCAAACAGCCTTCCAAGGAAAGCAAACTCCAGGATCATCTGTGAGACATCTGAAAAAAGGACCTAACCTCAAAACGCCCCTGAGAGTTGGCTGCCCAAGCCCAACTATCTGAATCCCCAACCATAATCCTCTGGCGATACAACAATGCCAAAAAGCGAATGGCCTCCTCAATCTCCCAATCCTGAAATAATCGCCTGAATCGAACATCCCAAACCAGTCTAATGTGATGCAACTTTTATGATACAATTCATTGTATCTGAACCAAATGTCTGTTTGGTTGCTGAGAAGATGTTGACTAATAAAAAATACCTGAAGTCTAATGAATGCATTATTCAGCACATTGAACGTGGTAAACATAAGACCACCCAACTGAGCCTACCAGTGTTACTTCTAAATGAGTTAAATACAATGACCTCCCTGGGGTATGACCTAATTACACTTGGCTGAAAGTTTTTAAAAAAATTGCAATGACCTCCCCTCCAGCAAAACTAAGCTCATTTTTAGGATGATTTTACATTCATACCCCTAATATTTTAATATTATAAATGTTAAAATATCTGCTACTATGAAATGACCAAATTGCCACCTTTATTTTCTTCCCTCTTTCTTCTTTCTCAATCCTTAGATTTCTTTTCGTACGAATGAGGAGACTGAAATTAGGGTTTTGTGGGTTGATTGAAGAAGATGATGATGATGGGAGTAGTGACGGTGTTGGAAGCCATCTCGAACTAGACATAGTGATTGCAACAAGAATGATATATATATGTATTGATATGTACACAGAATATATATAATAAAAGTGTTACAGCGATTAAAGAAAGGGATGATGGGTGGGTCTCCGGCTCTCTCTCTCTCTCCGCCGTCCAACCATTATCTCTCTTCAAATTAACACAGAGTAGTAAGTAGTTGAAGAAACAAGAAACCATTTTTGGATTACCAAATAAGAAATGGGTAAATTCCATATATGTATATATACATACACACACATATATATACAGTCTGGATTACCTAATAAGAAATGGGTAACTTCTATGTGTGTGTGTGTGTGTGTGTGTGTGTCTCCATGGTCTAGCCGAGACCCAAATATGGGAGGTAGCTTTTTCGATTGGTTAGTGTGTGTATATATATGTGTGTGTTTATATATACATGTTCATGGCTTAAATTCTGAACGTTACCTAACTCTATTCATTTCTATAATTAGGATTTGGTATTTGGTTAATATAGCTGATTTAATTTAGAAGAAAAGTGTTATAAGTTCTACTGGTGTTTGGATTTTAACTTATATAATGTTCTTTGAATACTACTACTGAGGGAACATTTAATTGTTTGTGTTTTTATTCATGCCTTTTGGATTTTGGATTTTAATTGCAGTCAAATTTCTTGGAATCAAACATGGAGATGGGTAATATGAACTTCTTGAGAGAGCTTAGGAACGTCAGTGTAGATCTCACTTTACAAGTGCTATAATTTATTTATTTTATTTCTATTATTAGAATTTGGTATTAGGTTAAATTGATGTTATGAGCATTTGGTCCGGAATTTTTTTTTTTTTTGGTTTGGATTTGGGTCTTGAGGGAGATGATAGTGGTAGATGGAAAGAGAGAAAATGATAGACATAGAGATAAAAGGGTATTTTTGTCCATAAAAATAAAGTCTTTTGGTAATTAAATGTCATTGTAAAGCTAAAAAAGTCATTTCAGATGGAGGAATGGGTATAATTAGGACAAACCTCAGGACAGGTTAGTGTATTTCACCCAATAAATTAATTTGATGCTAGCTAATAAGGTATAGAGTTAGTCTTTTTTATAACAACAAATAAATAAATTTGGTGTTAGCTAATAAGGCAAACAAAGCATCACAGAAGAAGTTGTAGAAATGATTTCCAAAATCTGCTTCTCTAGTTTTGACTGTACCATTTACACAAAAACTATTCTCTAATGTGATGCAGCTTTTATGACACAATTCATTGTATCTGAACCAAATGTCCGTTTGTTTGCTGAGAAGATGTTGATTAATAAAAAATACCTGAAGTATAATGAATGCATTATTCAGCACAACGAACGTGGTAAACATAAGACCACCCAACTGAGCCTACCACTGTTATTCTAAATGAGTCAAACCGGGATTGATTTAATGTATCTAAAGACAGCCACTTCTGCAAAGGTCATGTTTGTATCCAGACCGCTCTTCCAAAATCCTCAACTAGCGAAGACTAACCAAATTAACATTACAAAAATGCTGAAACGACCCACTCCACTACATGGTATGATATTGTCCGCTTTGGGCCCGAGACTGCACAGTTTTGCTCTTAAACTTTGCCCTAAAAGGCTTCATACCAATTGAAGTGACACACCTACATATATAGCACTTTCACTTTCCACACCCAGGCGATGTGGGATTGTACACCTGTATCTTGCCCAGTGTGTTAGCCTGCCAGTGCTTCTTGCACCTGCCCATAAGGTTGCCACAATCATCCCCCTTTGGGATCCAACGTCCCCGTTGGCCACACTTCCGGCTCGGTCAGGCTCTGATACCATTCTGTTACGCCCCAAAATTTCTAACACAAGTACCCTTGTTGTGCACTAAAAACTGGCACGTGACTCGCATATAACATCCACAATATATGTATATATATATATATATATATATATATATATATTTATTTATTTATTTATTTATTTAATCGGTGTAAATCAATTCTGGATTCATAAAATTTAATTATTGTCGGACAATAGCTCTTTCGTGTATGTGGGTATACTTATTAGTTATTATGGAATGTCAATCTTTATATAGTATATATATAGTATATAACGAGGATGGACATTAATTAATTGACCTATGAAAGATTGTATGTATAGAATACATTATGAATCTTAGTTAGAGTTTATGTAACCTGCTTGACTTATGTGATTATAGTAGAAGTTAAATGTTGAATTTAGTTTATCTGGAAGTATTTGTTTAATGACGGCAACAAGCATTTAATTGAATGAATTGTGGATTCTTGATGTAGTGTATGTGCTCTACATAAATGATAGGATGGATTTTGGAGATTATATGACACATGGTATTTATTTACACAAGTACAGGTGGAATATAATTCTTCCTGTTCATTAATCATATAATATGGTTCGGGTATCTGTGCATGAATGGTATTTTCTTTATTGCCATATATGATGTATACCAATAGGTTTAGAGAATGACTACAATAATGGATTGTAGAATAAGTGATTAATTGGTAGTCGGGGTAATGTGTCGATTTCATAAATCTGATAGATTGGTTTAGAGAATGACTGTATGAATGGAGTGTTTGGAATGTGTTTAGTATAATTAAAGAGAGCCAGTGTTGTTTACTTATGGGTGATGTGTGTCATTGTGGATTTTTTTTTTTTTTTCCTAGTTGGTATTCACACACACATGCCTCCACTGAAACTTGAACCCCTGACCTCCCTTTGGGAAGTAGGGGCCTGATACCGCTAAGCCACCGGCCTGTTGGTTGTCATTATGGATTTGATTACATGTTTTGCAAACATGCGGGTCATGACGTAATCACATCTATCATGGAAGATCTAATTATGGAAACTTTGTTTTGGTATTTTGTTGCAGCAACACCTTGGCGATGAACCAGATTCTTCAGCGACGCTTTGGTGGCAAGTCAAATTTATTTATTTCTCCTAGCGACACCTCAATGGCGAACCAGATTCTTTAGCGACGCCTTAGTGGCAAGTCAAAAAAAAATTTTAGCGACGCCTTGACGATGAACCTAAAATCTTTTCCTTTGCAACGAAATTCTATTGACGAAGCAAAATTATTCTTTGCAACTACACTTTGCCGACAGATCAAATTTTCCTTTGCAGCTACAACTCTGGATTCAATTATTCTTTGTAACTCTGGATCAAATTTTCCTTTGCAGCTACAAATTTTCCTTTAGGGTCAATTATGATTAGATTTTAAGTCATGACTTTGGGCTAGTCATAACTCAGGAATTACTAGTACATGTATGCCATAGTCATATGAGCCCGAACTAAGGAATTAAAGGATCCAATCAAAGCACTTGAACCATTATTAGTGATTAAAAATTAGTTATCCTTCATACAGATGAAGGTAAGTGCAGTTAAATGGCAAATCAAATTGGAGGATATTGAAGGTAATTTTTTTAGAGTTGATTGGCAGGATTCAAAACTAAGATTCTGGGTATGTGATGTATATGGTAATTAATTAATTATTTAATTACGGTGTTTGGTGAACTCATGAAAAAAAAATTTTAGTTAGCATTATTTAAATGTTAAAGGACATTTATTAAAGCAGTGTATTTGGTATTGAATTGAGGTGATTTAACTAGTCGGAGCAATACTCCAGGACTAACCCTATGATTATTTATTCGGTATGATTCGAGACCTGCTTATGAGAGTGCACTAACGTTGTTGTTATGACCACTGGGCTGAATGTACCCTTTATTATGTGGACGTGGTCCAGGACCATCTGAGTGAGTAGACATACAACCCAGCAACATGTGTGTATTCGGTAGTCCGGGATTATGCGAGTCACACCACCTGATGGAGGGGAGCTTGGGGCTCAAGTGAGATAGTTACATTAGTGTAGCCCCCGTTTGAGGGGAGGCCGGGGCTCGTGTGAGATAAGTGGGTATTTAGTAATTGTTAGTCGAGATGGTAAGTAAGATTATTGTGCAAGATAACGTTCTAGTGAGTTTTTGTAGTGGGCACGAATGTGGTTGCATATTATTAGAATTTTTTTTTTGATAAGTAAAAAAATTCCACAAGATTCGAACCGTGGTTGCATATTATTAGAAATTATTGTGATTAAAGTATCTTATATGGGTTATCTTTATATAAAGGAATATAAGGTTAACTTGTTGAACAATAATTGTGTTTGGCATTTCTTGCTGAGCTTGTGAGCTCACCCCTTTATCACTTTCAGGTGTATGTTGATTTAGCATGCAAAGGAGGTTCAATGGAGAAACAATGACTTTTTGGATGATCTATATTTTAATTTGATACTGTTTCTGAACAAGGAATTATGTAATAAAGTTCACCTTGTTGGTGGAATTTCTATTTCATTAGTGGATATCATAGATTATTTTTGGAATGATAGGTAATTAAAAGGTGTTTATTATTATTGATGGATGATTGTGGATGTTATATGTGAGTCATGTTAACCATTTTTTAGTACAGGACAAGGGTTATTTATTAGAAATTTTGGGGCATGACAAATGCAGTTGCAGTTCACTTTTCTGCCTCTTATTCCACATAGAGCTAAATTATGAGAAAGTTTTCTCCAGTAAAGCCATACGGCAGGCCAATAACTAAAAAAAGAAGAAGAAAATATTTTGCTAAATCACAAAATTTCACTACGCGTGAACAATGCTTCAGAATTCCACACCGAAAATCAATGTTGACAAGACATTAAAACAATTATTCTCACATGTGGATATCTGTGTATAAAGAGATCGTAACAGCATGAATTGTTGAAGGATCAAAGTACAAATTTCATTTCCTAAAACCTTGAACGAAAAATTGCAAACATAAGAATATGAAAGAGACCAAAAATATAATCATCAATTCAAAACAGCAGAAGTAATAGGCATGACAAATTCAACTCCCCGTAACAAAAGAGAAACATTTCGAAAAATCGATTGAGACTCACAATCTTCACAGCGACGATCTCGAACGTATCAACATGAGTAGCTGCCAAAAAAAAAATTATCACAATCCGATAAACCTCGAACTCAAAAGCATAAAACGAGAAGACTAATAAAACCGAAGCTAGATTTATATGTCTACGAAATCGGAGCTCACCTAGATAGATTTCGCCGAATGATCCGCTTCCAATCTTACGGCCAAGCTTGAATTTCCCTCCGACGATTCTTTCCATGCTATATAGCAGATCAGCGGATCGAACCTCTCAGAGCATCAAAGTTAGCTTGGACTTTCAGGTTCACCTCAGAATTGAATGATGAGAACAGACTGATTGGATAGATGGAAAATATTTACTACTTGTATTATTTCCCGAGAAACTGAAACCACACACGCGGGATTCGGGGGAGATGACGACAGAAAAAGAGAGTGAAAGCGCTCAGAAGACTCGTACAATGATGAAAGAGTTAATTACTGTATAATTTTTTGGAAGGCGAGAGTGAAATTTATTGTTTGCCACGAAAGAGATAGTAGAGGGTAGTTTTGGAATAGAAGTAGGTACAGTCGGGTGACTCGTTGATTCTGATGAGCGTGGATTCTGTTGAGGGTTCGTATGTCAATTCGGATTTTACTGCCAGAATTTGGGTTTGTTTAGTAAATAAATGTTGGCGGGGCACTCGGACAATTTCATCAATTTCGTTTATCTACGCGTCTCTCATTTTGAGTTTATTTTTGTTTACGTAGTGCCATAGCATTGTGCAAGTGAAATGGAGAAATGCGAACACAACAACAACTAATTTCTCCATTTTGAAAAGGGATAATAGTAAGTTTCTTAGGTCCTGTCTTAGCTATAAGTTTGATATGGTTGAAGGGAGAGACAAGGGGAGGGATGGACGAGAAATTCTTAGTACAGGCGTTTCCCTCATTTTTTGTTGGTTGGATGGAATACTTCTACTAACTAACTTTTTCATTAAGATTTATGTTATATTCAATAGCCCTTTATTTGGTAGAGATGACAAAAGGAGAATAGTAAGTGTTGAATTACGTTGTCATTAGCTTTACGGATTGAGTTTTCTTTCTTTCCTATTTTAGGAGATTACATTTGACTATAGAAGATTGTAAAGCCGTAATTCAAGGATATAGGTTGATTCTAGGGAATTATGTCTAGAAGCTCTCTATATATTCTCTGTACATATTCGAATGATATATGAAATAATTAGAGATACAATTCATCAAAGATGGTATCAGAGCAATGTTCAAAACCCATTTGATTTATCAAAAACCTATAAATTCATACGTGCCCATGTCAGCATATCATTCCTTATATCAAAACCCAGTATCAAAAGTTCAAAACCTATTCCCTATCAAAACCCAAATTGTTCAGATTGTTCAAAAATCAAAACCCATATCTTTCAAAACCTAAAAATCAAAAATCAAAAATCAAAACCCATATCAAAACCCAGATCCAAATCATCAAAACCCATATCTTTCTGCGGACTCTTCAGTCCTCAGCCGTCGTTGTCGCTGAGCGGATCGCATCGCCTACTGCTCCATCGCCTGTTGCTCCATCTCCTCTGTCGTTGTTCCATCTTCGGTATGCAGGTTAAAGAAATCGTTTTATGGGTTGAAATAATCTCCGAGAGCATGGTTTAGAAGGTTCACAAAGTCTATTATAGCCTTTAGCTACCATCAGAGCAATTCAAACCACACTTTATTCCTAAAGAAATAATAGGGTAAGATCACTGCACTCATTGTATATGTAGATGACATGGTGGTTACAAGAAATGATCCTAAAAACATGAAGGCTCTCAAGAATTACTTGTCCAGAGAATTTGAAATGAAAGGTTTAGGTCCTTTGAAATATTTTCTTGGGATCGAAGTATCTCGATCTAACAAAAAAATCTTTTTATCTGAAAGAAAATATGTTTTAGATTTATTACAAGAGACTCGTATGACAACATGTCAACCAGCTGATACACCGGTGGAAAAAAGACTGCAGTTATGTGTTCAGTCTAACTTAGTACCTGCTAATAAAGGAAGATATCAAAGACTTATAGGGGGATTGATGTACTTAGCACACACGAGACCGGATCTAGCATATGCATTGAGTATTGTTAGCTAATTTATGCATTATCTTGGAGAGCAACATATGAATGTAGTTATGCGTATTTTGATGTATCTGAAATGCATATACTGATGCTGACTGGGCTGGATCCATAGATGATAGGCGATCTATCTCTGGTTACTTTACTTTCATATGAGGTAATCTTGTGACACGGAGAAGTAAGAAACAAAATGTTGTAACTCGCTCAAGTGCAAAAGCTGAATTCAAAGGTTTGGCAAATGCACTTTGTGAGGCTTTATGGCTAAGAATCCCCTTGCAGGATTTGGGTTATTTATCTGAACAACCTATCAGACTGTTTTGTGACAAAAAAGTAACATATGACATCGCGCATAATCCTGTTCAACATGACTGTACAAAGCACGTTGAGGTAAACAAATTTTTCATTAAGGAAAAGTTGGATGGAAAGCTTGTGAAATTACCTAAGATTCGATCTAAGGATCAGTTAGCTCAGTTAGCTGACATCCTCACCAAAACAGTCTCAAATCGAGTGTTCTTAAAGTTTTTATACAAGTTAGGCATGTGTGACATCTATACACCAACTTGAGGGGAATGTTGAATTAGGTTGTCATTAACTGTACGGATTGAGTTTTCTGTAATTCAGGGATATAGCTTGATTCTAGGGAATTATGTTTAGAAGCTCTCTATATATACTATGTACATATTCGAATGATATATGAAATAATTAGAGATATAATTCATCAAAAAGTAAGGATGACTCCTCCTTCATTCTTTAAACATTTTCATCATCCAAAAAATGGGCGGAAGAAATGAGAGAAAACAATTGGACTCTTATAAAAATTTTAAATTAAATATTATCCTAAATTATACAAGTTTTAAATTTCAATATTATCTTCTATAAATTACAATATTATAAAGGGTAAATTACACTAACCTCCCCTGAAATTTCGTCAATTTACACTGACCTCCCTTCTTATTTGCTAAATAACAATGACCTCCCTCGAAGTTTGTATACGTGTAACAAAGACCTCCCCTCCATTAACAGAAAATACCGTTACTAAAAAAAAATAATGATGTCATCAATTTTGTGTTTTCAAATTCCCATTTTACCCTCAAAGATATGTAAATAAATTAATTAAAATATCTAAAATACTCTCATAATTATTTCTCCCCTCCTCTCAAATTCTCTTTCCAATCTTTTTCTCTCTCTAGTCTCTTTCCTCGGTGTGACGACTTTAATTCGGGAGTTTCAGAACAACGGTGTGGTGAGACGGCGGCGGCAAGATCAGCGGTAGTTCTATACACTTCACCGAGCTTGGGTCTATGAACTTCAAACCCAAACTATCATCATTCATCTTTACGATGCCGACGCATACATTCTCAAAGCTCTGGCTAACCAAGATCTGGGTCTTCATCAGCGTGCCCAACAACCAGCTTCTCGCAATGGGGTTCTCCAACGCCACTGTCGCCGCCTGGATAGGCCGAAACGTTGCCTCGTACTACCTGCAAACGCTCATCGTCTCCGTCACCACCGAAGCCAAGTCGCAATTGATTCGCGACTCCGTCTTAATCACCATAGCCCAGCTGCCCAAGGCAAGTTCTTCTCCCCTTAAGGATTTTGATCGGCAGCGGATCGAAGACGTTGTCGATGAAGAATACAGGCAGCAGATCGGTGGTGAAGTGGCTGCAACAGCGAGCAAAACTGAGATGCTCTACTCCGCGACGGCAGAGGGCAGTAACGACAGGGGCTGAAACTGTTCTCTTCTTCTCTTTCTACGAAGTTCTGTTTTGTTGGTGATCACGGAGCAGTCAAATTAAGGTTGGGTTTTTGAAAATTTAGGGTGTTGTAGAGAATTGGGGATGAAGAGAGCCAAGTTAGATGTGTTCGTGTCATTGAGTTGGCAGAGATCAATTCAAATTTTGATCAGTGTAAGGTGTTTGTACATAATCATGGTCAGCATGGAAGTACCTTTCGTTTTCAGAACTGGGTTCGACGCAGTGCCTTAAGAGGGCTCAAATGGGTTCTTCAATGATGGATGATTCTAGCCAAGAAGGTTGTTGTTTTTCATTATTGGGGAAGAAGATACAAACGATGCCGTTTGTTACAGGCACTTGCTTGTGTTTGTAAAGGTTGAAGGATATGATCTGGGCCTTTTTGTCTTTTCAAACTCCATTGAGTTTGTAATAAAATACAGTATAGATATAATAGGGCAGAAAAGTAATTTTAATATAATAGTACGTTAACGCCATCTGCCCAAAAGCTTTAACAAGGGAGGTCAGTGTTATTTGGTAAACAAGAGGGGAGGTCAGAATAAGTTGATAAAACCTCATGAGAGATAATTTACCCTATTATAAATATTATTAAATATAATAATAAAAACAATTAAAATTTTATCTTTCTTAATCTGTAATAAATTATGAGTTTATTTCTTTTCTTCTATTCAATCCAACAAAAAGAAGAAGGGTTAATTTCACTCACACTCCCTCAGGTTTGGCCAAATATCACCTTCAAATATCTTTCGAAAATAACTATCACTTAGGTTCATTTCTATTTTTCCATTAAAATCTCTGTTAAACACATGGGAAAAGACAACTTTGCCCTTAATTTTTTTATCCAATTTATTCCAAACAATCAAGTTGCTTAAATGACCATTGTACCCCTACACCCACTTATCACCACCACCCATATCTGTAACACCGGCAAAACAACAATCACATGGAAGCGGTCTTGACCCATTTTAGAGTGCCGAACTATGTATTCTAGCCCCAACTAAAAAAATCCATGTGAAGGGTATCAGATTATACATGTCCATTAATTACATAAAGTTGATGGGTTGGATTGAAGTTAAATTTATCAAATCCGACTTCAACATCGTTGGCCAGCAGTTGCGTGGAGGTTGGACTGAAATCAAATACAACATATAAAATAAATATATTATGCATATATAGACCCAGATTGTAATTTCAGATTGCTTATGTTGCACTTGCAAGTGGAGTGGTGGTGGTGCTACGATGGATTCTAGCCGAAGAATTTGGTTGAGAAGATAAAAAGCTTTGGTTGGTCTATTAAGGGCATTTTGAATTCATTAGTGACGTCAGAGCTCAAAGAATCAATTTTTCTCCACTATAAATGTGATTGTTTTGGGGCTGGAGGTACTTTGTCAGAAAAACAACCGAAGCTTTGTTTTGAAACTCGTCAGTCTTTGGTTTGATGGAGCGTTGGACACTCGTCGGTTCCCCTAGTTTTCCCTCTGCCGAATCAGTCTCGCACCGTTGCCGGACTAGTGCACGCACCTTCGCCGACGATCTGTACAATCAATCAAGTTATGCATTTACAAATTTGTCGTCGTAGTTTCTGATTGCCGGAATAGTTCTTGCTAAACTGTAAATTCAGTCTCCCCA